AGCTTTTTAATCACAAGATGATAGCGTTCCTCACGCTCACTCTTAGTTCCCTCATGGAGCGCACAAATGTCCAACCATAGTGCATGGGCGTCTTTGTGGTTCCTTACGCGGTTGAACACATCTTTGCAAAGACCTCTAAAGATGGTGTTGCGAGCCTTTGCATTCTATTTTTCATAATTCACTTCATCGCCTTGAAGTTGTGTGGGATTCTTAGGTGTTGGGAACCCTTGAGAGGCGGCTCTAAGTATTCCAACGTCTAGAGCTTCTAGGTATGCCTTCATGCGAATTTTCCAATATGGAAAATCATCCCCCTCGAAGATAGGAGGAGGTCCATCCCCATGAGACATCTTACTCTAAGCGGTTAAGCTTAAAAACGTGAGCACAAGGCTCTGATACCAATTGAAAGGATCAAGATGCCCAAGAGGGGGGTGAATTGGGCTAATTCTAAATTTTCTTGCAATAATCTAATCCTACGGATAGCCCAATTAACCCCTTGTGCTTAGAAAAGTGTTTCTATCAAATTAACGCACAAAAGACTTGCAACCTATGTTCCAAACTTACTCTAGCATGGCAATTCTATGAATGTAAAGACAAGTATTGAATTGCTCAAAGTAAATACTTAAAGTAAATGCTCAAGGTAAATGGAGAGAGGAACGCGGCGATGTTTTGCCGAAGTATCGGAGAGTCGCCACTCCCCACTAGTCCTCGTTGGAGCACCCGCGCAAGGGTGTAGCTCCCCCTTGATCCTTGCAAGGATCAAGTGCTCTCTACGGGTTGATTCTTCGACACTCCATCGCGGCGAATCACCCAAAGCCGCTCACAACTTGAGTTGGGTCACCCACAAGCTCCGCCAGGTGAACACCAAGCTCCCAATCACCACCAAGCCATCTAGATGATGGCGATCACCAAGAGTAACAAGCACGAACTCTCACTTGACCATGCGAAGCCTAATGAGAAGATGGATGCACACTTGACTACTCTTGATTCACTAATGAGGTTTCACTCTTGGATTCTCAAATCACAAACACCTCACTAGGACCTTGCTCTTCTTGGCACTCACAAACGTGTTTCTCAGCTGTTTGAATGAGCAAAAGTCACTCCACACACGAGTGGAGCTTCTATTTATAAGGCAGCCTGAAAAACGAACCGTTATGAGCTTTTGCGGGGTGACCGGACGCTCCGGTCAGTTCAACCCGCGAACCAGTAAGAATGAATTGACCGAACGCTGGCAGGGTCCGGTCAGCATTGACCGGACATGTCCGGTCGCATAAAACCCTTACTGGAACCTTACTGGACTCGACCGGACGCTGAACCCTCAGGGTCCGGTCAGTACTGACTGGACGCGTCCGGTCACAGATTCCCTTCACTGGAACCTTACTGGAGTCGACCAGACGCTTCCTTTTAGCGTCCGGTCACTTGACCTCTCCAGCGTCCGGTCACACCGAACGCAGACGTTGATCAAATGAACTGACCGAACCCTGCGGCCAGCGTCCGGTCAGTGTTTGACCCTCCATTCACTTCCAACTTCCGAACATATGTGAATGAAGTTTGCTCCAAAGAATCTTAGGCATTCATAGGAGCTACCTAGAGCTAGTATTGACAAGTGTGCACCACACCTAACTCACTAGACTCAACTAGGTCAAGCTACCCATTCATACCCCCCTTAATAGTACGGCCAAAGGAAAAATAAAGTCCTAAACTACTCTAAGTGTCTCTCCAACTCCAATCGACACTTAGAACTAGTCATCATTAACCTTGTCGTCCATCCTCTAAAAACCGAAACGATTTTCATTGAGGGGGCATGACAACTTTGATTGCCTAATTGATCTTCATTACCATGACCTAACTTAATTGCCTCTGCAAAACACACGTTAGTTATAGTAATCTTGTATTGTCATTAATCACCGAAACCCAACTAGGGGCCTAGATGCTTTCAAGGTTTCAAATAACCTAGATAGCAGCAAGAGCATAGCATGATCAACAAAATTGATCTAGACACCGGTTAGGCCGATGTTGAGCCCGTTCTTGGCTTAATAGACTCTTGAACTTCTCCCGGGAAGACCCGTCGGGGAGGAGCACGTGGAGGGTGTCCTAGGACCAGCAAGGCCACCTAGAATGCCACCGAATCTCGCCAGGAGACACGACGAACAGCAGCAAGGGTTGAAAAAGGGGTAAAGGGTGTAGTAGATTGATTTTTTGACGATTAGATAGTTAGGAACTCAGTCGACCGTGATCCTCTCATATATATAGAGGGGTGGTCTTATCCCAGTAGGAAAGAAGTCCAAATCGTATTCTTCAAGTTTTCCACGTAAAAAACATGCCAAAAACAGCTTTTGGGTGTAATCAAGTCGGTTTCAGGCGGGAGTCAACTCCTTGAGTTGGCTAAGCTGATTTTCGTGGACCTGGGCAGGTAGCCCGGCCTGGCAGGCCATAAGGGGTCGGCTTAGCCGACCCAAGCAGTCGGCTAAGCCAACTAGGCATAGGAGTAGGCTTAGCTAATTGCAGGAGTCAGCTAAGCCGACTGGGCGTCACTTGCCGTGGCTTGTTGTCATCTCTGCGTGTTTCGCTTGCTATTTTGTTGCATCATTGGACCTCTGATATGTCCTTGATATTATAACTTGTTGGTAGTGTCCAAAATCACCTTAGGAAATTTTTTGTGTCAACATGTGCCCCCCTGTTTTTAGGTGAATGATTCATGAACCTGGAAACACGGTTCAAGAACGTAAGCCAACAAAACACAAATCCGTTAAATCTCTTTCAGAGATCATCAAATGAAAGCATCGATTCTTAGTGTCCCTAAAGCGTTTAACAAAATCAAGAACGGACTCATCACGCCCTTGACGAACTGATGTAAGGTGAGATAATCTAGTTTTATGGACTCCATTATAAAAGTGATTATGAATTTTTCCCTCTAGTTCAGCTAATGAACCAATAGAACAATGCAGTAATGAAGTAAACCATGCAAAAGTTGTACTTGTAAGAGATAAAGGAAAATGATGAACATTCATAAAGTCTTAGGTACTAGCTTCACCCATTTGTGCAAGAAACATGCTAATATGCTCCATAGATGATCTACTATAGTCACCACTACCCTCCAACCATCAAGAGCTTTCATAAAATCAAAGCGAGAAGGGTACGACTTGCAATATGTAGTCTTACTTGGCTTAATTTGCACTCCTAGGCTCTCCTCAATGGATTTAGACAATTCATCTTTAAACTCATTCAAATTATCACTAAAATCGGTACCAGGAGCTATAAGGGCATTATTAAGTATAGGAATTTGACTTGGTGACTTCGGCGGGTTAGAAAGAACCTTATTTTGCACCGCCAAAGCTCGATTCACTGTTGGTCTATGATCATGTGTTACGAGCCAAATTTTGACCATAAGTGACCAATTGCAAAGATGGGCCAACAGCCCCTAAATTGTGCTTATCGGTTTCAAGTACCGAAGAGCCTATATGGCTTTATTTGCCACTGCATATAGACCTTGATTCTCATAATAATTATAAGGCCTACCTTACTGAGGTTGTTTAGAAGTGGAAGTTTCAGACGATTGATCTACATAATCGGCCGTCTTACCCTCTATCTTATCAAAACGTGGCATAATCATATCAACATCCGACATAAGATTATTACCAATAACTTTCTTATCATCTTCTAACATAGTAGCAAAATTGGCATGAGTAAGGTAAGGATCTACCTCAATATTTACCTTTTCAGTGGGCTTTTCAGCAGCCTCTACCTCAGAGTCATGAGATGCAGTAGTAGTAGCTTCTCCAAAGGGGGGGTCACGGAATTGAGTAACCTTATCATGCCGATTCTTGGTGCAGCTCTCCAAGAAAGCCTTGATATCGACATCGAGCTTGGCTTGAAGTTTTTGGCACAACCCATTAGGAAGCTCATCCATAGATTGCGGGAAGATGAAAGTTACCCTCATTGAAAGGATTAGTCTTGTCACCCATCATCGCCTTTGAGCGCCATCTTCTTAGCAGATTGGTTTCGACTCTTCTTCCCCAGCGGAGTCGCCAAAAAGCGTGTATACGTCGGAGGGTGTCCGAATCACACACGAGCAGGGGCTAGCATGCCCAAGAGGTTGCAAACAACCTAGATAGCAGCAAGAACGCAGCGTGATCGACAAAACCGATCTAGAGACCGGTTAGGCCGATGTTGAGCTCGTTCTTGGCTTGATAGATTACCAAACTTCTTCCGAGAAGACGCGTCGGGGAGGAGCACGTGGAGGGTGTCCTAGGACCAGCAAGGCCGTCTAGAATGTCGTCAGATCTCGCCGGGAGACACGACGAACAGCAGCAGGGGTTGGTAAAGGGGTAAAGGGTGTAGTAGATTGATTTTTTGACGATTGGATAGTTGGGAACTTAATCGGCCGTGATCCTCTCATATATATATATAGAGATATGGTCTTATCCCAGTAGGAAACAAGTCCAAATCGTAATCTCTAAATTTTCCACATAAAAAACATGCCAAAACCAACTTTTGGTCGTAACCGAGTCGGTTTCCGGGTGGGAATCGGCTTAGCCGACTCCTGGAGTCTGCTAAGCCGATTTTCACGGGCCTGGGCAGATAGCCCTGTTCGGCCAGGGGGGATCGGCTTAGCCGACGGGGCGCAACTCGCCGAGGCTCGTTGTCTTCTTCGCGTGTTTCGCTTGCTATTTTGTTACGTCATTGGACCTATGATATGTCCTTGATATTTATAACTTGTTGGTAGTGCCCAAAATGACCTTAGGATATTTTTTATTGTCAACACAAATCTATGTACTTTGCTTATGAATGGAGCATAACCTTTATTCTTTATTAGGGGAAATAAAAAGCAAACTGAAATAAAGCACACAAACAGGTTTTACATCCTTCTAATTTTACCCAAATAAGCACACAAATAAATATGAAACACACCGTACCAATAGTTGCAGGAAACAGGAAGTCAAAACGTAAGCAAACAAACAAATCTTAATTTTACCCCTTTTTTCCTTGGAATTTCTGTGATTTTAAACGTTGGCTGAAGCGTTGTTGTCCTTTGACTGCTGCTGCTTTTTTTTGTCCTCCTCAGATGGAGGGGTATCTCCGCGGCCGCCGTTGTCGAAGCCGACGCCGCGTCTTCTGGTGGGGAAGATCATGAAGACGAAGCTGGACAGGAGCGCCAGCCCCAGCGGCGCGTTCCTCAGCAGCTCCTTGACATTCTTCATGTGGTCGCTGTCCAGATCCGGGACGAAGCACTTCTGGAGCCCGACGTCGCCCATGGCTATGGAGATGAAGACGATGGCGGTGAAGAAGGCATGAACCCAGTCGAGCGTCTTGAGGCGGCGCTCCTTGAGCTCGCCCCCGAGCGCCTTGAGCAGCTCGCGCTCCTCCCTCTTGGTGAGGCCGAACACGTTGAGGCGGCGCGGGAGCGCCACGCCGTAGTAGATCTTGCCCTTGTGCACGATGCTGTCGGTGAAGGTGAGGAAGATGCAGGCGGCGGTGAGGAAGGCGACGAGACAGGCGCTGAGCCACTTGTTGGCGACGTTGCAGGCGCCCTGGTTGGTGAAGGACGCGGACAGCGTCTGGAACACCAGCACCGCGCCCGACGGCAGCAGCTTCGCCAGGTTCGCCGACACTGACAGCACCTTCTCGGCGGCCACGTTCGCCTTGCTGGATTTCGCGTCCATGGCATCGGCGACGCCCTCACCAAGGGTACTACTGCCTGTCGTCGCGTTGTTACGTCGTCCTGTCCCCGTGGTATCATCGCTATTGTCTGTTGTCCGCGCTCTTGCTTCTGGGTTGATGGCGTTGTTTGCCATCCGTATTTCTTTGTGGTGATTGAGAGTCTAGCTAGCTAGCTAGCTTGCTGGTTAGTTGTTGCCTCTTCCTACTCGCTCGCACCTCTTGATCGCTGTGGAGCTGGGCAAGAGGACGATCCATGCATTTCTGCTATTTATATAGGCGAGAACCATTGTTGCTAATTCGTGTCCTACAATTAACATTTGATCTTACGTAATGCATTGGAGCATGGATGCATGGCCCATATATGTGCGTATCCACAGTCTTAATAATTAAAGCGGCGGCTTAACTCTAGTACCCTACAAGCCGGATCATATCCTTTCTCTTCTTTTGTGACTGGGAAGAAATATTTCTACTTTTGCTGTCTTGCAGGAGGCTGAATCCACTGCTTCGGGATGCTTGTCGTTGCACATGTAGCCATGTAGGGCATCCGGCATCATTAGAAAAAACTTTTCATGACCCGCGTAATTGAGTTCCCTAGCTAGCCCTACAAACCAAACGAGTGAGCTGTCTAGTTGCATATACAGTCTCTCGATTTTCGATCAACACAAGAAAAGACCTTGCCTCTTCTGTTAAGTTTTTTTATCACTAGCGCTTTGTAAATCCATCGTTTTAAATCGCGGCAATCCAAGAGTTGTCATGAGATGGTAAAAACACTTCATATGCATACATCAAATATCGGAATAAACTACTCCTGTATTGATGTCGTATTTTAATGTATTGGCCTATATAGATTCTACTGCTAAATCAATATTGAACTTTTTGTAGCACCAGATTCACATTTCAAAAATTAGAAAAACAAAATCATTGGCAAAACCCGGTGCTGCACTACCGGAAACATCAAAATTGCCGAGTGTTTTTGTGTTTGCCGAGTGTTTTCTCTCGGGCACTCGGCAAACAAGTTCTTTGCCGAGTGCTTCCATAAAAACACTCGGCAAAAAAAAAAACACTCGGTAAAGAGGTGGTTTGCCGAGTGTAAAAAAAAACACTCGGCAAAGATGGGATTTGCCGAGTGTTTTTTTTATACTCGGCAAAGGAAAAAATATTTTTTCTGGGAAAGTAAAAATATTTTTTTTTTATACTCGGCAAAGTTCTTTGCCGAGTGCCCAGATTTAGGACACTCGACAAAGTAAAAAAAAATTCTGGGAAAGAAAGAGAAGAAAAAAATAAAAAAAATCTTTGCCGAGTGCCCAGATCTAGGACACTCAGTAAAGTAAAAAAATATTTTTTTCTGGAAAAGAAAGAGAAGAAAAAAATTGAAAAAAAATATTTACCGAGTGCTCAGATCTGGGACACTCGGCAAACAAACAAAAAATCGTTTTTTAACCCTAGCGCCGCAGGCTCCCCTTCTCCTCGCGCCGCGTCCGCACGCCCCCTCCCCTTCTCCGTGCACGGGCACGCGCTGCCCCCTCCCCCCGCACGCGCACGCGCCGCCCCCTCCTCCCTCTTGGCCCCCCCTCCCTCCTCCTCTCCTCTGTGGTGGCAGCCTGCCCCATCCCTCCCTGGCAAGGCCTCCTCCTCCCAACTCCACCGCCGCCACCAGATCCGGCCCCGACGCGGGTGGATCCGGCGACGGTGGCGCACGGGGAGGCGGATCCGGCCCCGACGCGGCCGCCCCCTCCTCTTCCTCTCTTCCCACTGCCGGCGCCCCTCCCCCTCCTCTCCCTCCTCTCTCTTCCCCGGCGGCGGATCCGGCGCGGCCGCCCCCTCCTCTCCCTCTCTTCCCACCGCCGGCGCCCCACCCCCTCCTCTCCCTCCTCTCTCTTCCCCGGCCGCCCCCTCCTCTCCCTCTCTTCCCCGGCGTGGCAGGTGGTGGCGTGGTGGTGGTGGGCGGCGGTGGCGTGGTGGTGGTGGTGGCGGTGACGTGGTGGTGGTGGCCGGTGGTGGCTCGTGGCGGCGGCCGTGAAGCCGGGGAGCGAAGGCGAGACGCAGGGGAAGGGCGCCGCCGAGGAGACCGACGACGGCCGGCGGAGACCGGCCGGTGGTGGCTTTTTTTTATTTTTCGAAAAAAATGTTTGTGTTGGCTTTTTTTCGAAAAAAATGTTTGCCGAGTGTATTTTGGGCACTCGGCGAAGTATTTGGCGAGTGTCCGACAAAAAACACTCGGCAAAGTCTGTTTGCCGATAAAAATTCACCGAGTGTCGTTTGCCGAGTGTGACACTCGACAAACCCTTTGCCGAGTGTTTTTTAGGCTTTGCCAGAGGCACTCGGCAAATCTCTTGATTCCCGTAGTGCTGAAACTTAATTGTTTTGTGAAATCTCAAACTAAAAGTTGCTGATGATTTTATTATTGTGGAAAAATACGATTCTGTTCAAAATAGGGATGCATATATATAATTTTGATTTTGCTAAATCTCAGTCTGCAAACATTCAGTTATACAATTTACTTTATTATGAATTTTAGGTATATTTGATAGGTTTCATGAATAACTAAACGTAAACTATACCTAAGAACAAGCGCATAGCGTCGGTTCATTTTTCTTATTTTCTGTTTTTTTTATTAATCTCATAATTATGTTAGGCATAGTCTCTTTGATTTAATCTAAGCCGTTACATAATTGAAAGATTCAACACTATATGTCTTTTTTCTAAATTATTATCTTGCAGTTGTATTAGGTATGGATTCTTTTCATTAATCTAGCCTGTGATCATCGTAAAATATAATGGTGCCGGTTTTTTTTCTTTATTCCGATTAATCTCGAATTTTTAAACCGTCTCAACTAATGAATTTTTGGGTTAATCTAGGCCATTATATTATCATAAAATTTAATGGCATAGATTCTTTTCTCTTTTTTTCTTATTAATATATTGTAACTCTCTGGACGAACGTGAAAGATTCTTTTAATGACATGTCACGAGCCGTCCTGCATAATTTTTCTAGGAGGCTAGCTTTAACCCCGGCAATGTTCATGTTGTGGCGTTGGATAGAGCCAGCATCTTCCACATGTACGTGCAGAGTAGCCTTTTTAAAATTAAAGCCTATGCACTTAATTCTAACAAGCTAAGCACGCTTGGAATTGATACCACTGACAGATGGAGCTTTAGTTTCCTTTTTGTTGCTCTAAATTAAAGAAACGGAGACACCTCCGTCCTTAAAAGAATACAATTCTGAAGCAGTGTCATGTTTTAGTATATCAAGTTTGATCTTATAGATAAAAAGTATAAATATTTATAATATTAAATAAATATTATTAGATTAGTTACAAAATGTATTTATATAATAAATTGATTGGGAGCCATAAATGTGAATACTATTTACTAGAAACTTGGTCAAATGTGAAGCGCTTAAACTGACACGCATACCATAGTTGCATCTTTTAGGGACAGATGTAGTATTTATTTTCTGAGACAATGAAGAAGTTACAGAAAAGTGTCATGTGTAGCGATTAGGGCAGTCCTAAAGGCGAAACTAATATATAGTTTCTATGACATGTCATGTCATATATATAGACACCACTTATAACTCATAATACACAATGTCTAATGATTATGGCTATAAAATGAACGACTCTAGTTACATTTCTCCTCTCTTTTCCGATGGTCTTCCTCCCCACTCTCTTATTTGTCTTGGTAAGAGATTTTTATGTATTGCGTCAAAAAAAGAGATTTTTATGTAGTTTTTCAAACTTTGGTTTTTGTGAAAGACCTAGTTTCTCACATGAGATCCAGTTTCTTGTAGTTTTCATCTCTCTCACTTCTTAATATTGTTAACCACATCAGCAAAATATCGTACATGACATGATATTAAATGATATGGAAACTATTCTAGTCATAGCATTGAGAGTTCTTAGGCTAGTCTCAGTAGGGGTTTCATAGGTATTAAATAAGATGATATGACATAGTATAGATGAAGAGAGATATCATAAAAGTTTCGTGGGATCAAAAAAGTTTCATGGGGATAAAAATTTGTCTACACTGTTTTCAAGATGGAGAAGTCTTGAAAACTAGGAGATGAAACCCCCGTTGAGAATAACCTTAGCAATTAAGTATAGCCATCATAGCCTTTATGATTGGTGAATGAGGGATAAGATATATAGTAATTGGAAGTAATATGGTACTTTTTAAGAAAAATGAAAGAAAGTGGGCCGGTGGGAACCTGTAAACTGCTTTCGGCCTGATATGTTAGGTAGGTAGTTTTTGGAGTTTAAAAACTACACCCACTGTTCCAAATTGTAAGTCATTTTGGCTCGTTTAGATTCATGGATTTTACTATGTATCTAAACATAACGTATATCTTTTTTTGCGCAAGACATAATATACATCTAGATGTATAGCAAAAGCTATGTACCCACAAAATCCAAAATCACTTACAATTTGGAATGGAGTGCGTAGATGATAGCCCACGTGTTGCTGCCAAAAATTTGTAGTAGAGCATATAATGAGGAATTTGAGTGGCCAAAAATTGTAGTAGAACATATAACTACACCACTATTCCAAATTGTAAGTCATTTTGGCCAAAAATTTGAGTGGCCACGTTCGCGTCGCTAAAAAACAAGTCAAAACACTGTTCCGGCTGATTTGGTGTGAGAGAAAAACACTGTTCCGGCTGAAAAAACAAACTGAAAAGTACGGATTATAAAACAAGCTGAGTGGAAAGTTTTTTTCTAGGTAAGGATGAGGGCATTCACACGTCTTTTTACATTTTTGTCATATTCCACTGTTAAGAATGGATGATAAAATGCAAATGTGTTTGCGATGACTGCATAGGAACTGTCGGAAGTTTTTGCTCCAGCAATCGAAATCAGCGTATCACGCATAGGGAATCAGAAGGAAGCATACACAAATTTATACTGGTTCAGGTACGTGGTACCCTACGTCTAGTTGGGAGTAGATCTCTTATCTAGTATGCTTGAATTATAAGGGGCTGCTGAGGACTAGTTGCCTATGCAATGTAGGATACCGATCGGGGCTCCTCACCCCTCCTATGTAGTTCAGGGGGTTGGGTTATAGATAGAGTCCCGATCGGTTTACATGTGGATTTCCTAGATCGTTACAAGAAAATCTACCAGATAGAGTTGGT